TTTATTTATTACCAGTAGGCCAGCTCTAATAGTAATTTGGTATGGCTTCGCGGGCCAAATATAATTAGGCTGCGGGCCAGAGTTAGACACCTATGCTCTAGTAATATTACTGACTTTCTCTTTCCACTGTCATGGTTAGTATGGCCATTTGAGGGGTTTGTCACTTGAGTGTAAAAATACAGCTATGATAAACATTATTTGTATACATCAGTGTATGCTTTTCAAAATAAATATATATAAATATGCTAAAAACAGAAAGACAAAGAGTTACCCAAAATCAAGGTTTAAAACAAATAAAATAAATAGTTTTCACAGAATCCACAGATCTCAAGCTCAAGGGAGAGAGTCATCTGGGGACTAATATTGTGAAAGCTCTGTCACCTTTAGCTCTCAGTATTGTATGAAGCACAGCCAGCAGGCCCTGGCCATATCAGCTCAGGGACATGCTGGGGATGTATTGATGAAAATGTTCACTGAGGTACGTTGGAGCTCGTTCATGCAGAGCTCCAAAAGTCAAGCTCTGGGTAGTTACCCAACAATGAGACTGTGGAGACTAGTGGCAGACGGGGCCGGCTATACGGTGGGGGAAAGGGGGCAATGCCCTCTTAAACAAACGTCCTGCCCCCTTAAGTCAACTTTTAGAAGTTGAGAAAGAAAATAATAGATTAATAATAGATTACCCACAAACTGAATATGGACAAGATTTACTACAGTAGCTGAAAAATCCGCTTGAAAAGGCACAAACGAGATGATAGGTTTCACGTGTCGTTCGTTCTTTACCTCCGTGCACTCTTTGTACGCAGGCTACCACAGCACTCCCCAACTAAACATCCTGCTAAACGCAGCTTGCCTCCGCCTTCAAGTTGAACTGAAGTTGATAAAGAGCCCATGTCAAAGTATTGTGGTTAAGTTAAATCCAATTTATTAACCTACCTCTGAGATGAAGTGCAGCTGCGAAGAACGTACTTTCTCCTGTTTGACTACGGCAGGCAATGAGGTGCGTTTATTGTCTGTCTGTCAATTTGAGTTTCCATGAAACCGCGATAAACAGGTTGTTTTTTTTTATTACTATGCCAACCCTTTTTAGTTTTGTAAGTACTGGCTATATTGAGAGGTCTTATTTTATTCTTACTTCATTTTGAAAATTTATTTGAATTAGGCCATCCAATTAAGATATATTTTATGTTGTTGGTTGTAAAGATCTGGATGGATATTTTATTTTAGTCTTCTATTTCTATTCTTTTTATTTTTCAAAACATTGTGAATTCTCTCTCTCTCTTTTAAGAACCTACCCTTTTTAGTTTTGTTAATATCGGCAAAAGTGTGAAGTGTTATTGTTGGTTTTGAATATATTCGATATAGGCTATCCAATTGAGGTAAATGTCTTTTTTTTTTTTAGTTGTTAGAATCTGATGAGCAATATTTTATTTTATTTTATTTTTGGGGTTTTTTTTTTGCTTTTCTGTTTTCCCCCTGACGGTTTGCCACCTTAACGTTGTCAGGGGGTTTGCATGCCATAGTGACCATAAAAGCTAGACTATCAGTAGCTTAGCCTTCAGGTGGGACACCCAAGTTGGTCAGGTCTTAGGGTAGAGGCCTGACAAAGTGCAATCCACTTACATGACAAAAACAGTTACCCAGAGTAGGACTGCCACGATATTCGACTAGTCATGATTACGTTGACTATCAAAATCGTCAACAACTAATTTAATAGTTTAAAGCTTTATAACATCCTGAAAGACGCAGGAATAAGTAGTAGGATTTAAGAGTGTAATAACGGACTGAAACAGAAGATAGCAGCAATGAATGTACAAAGATGCCAGCTGCCATTAAACGCCAAAGAAGAAGAAGAAGAAGAAGCAGTCTCTGGTATCGTAGAAGCTGTGTCCAAATTCAGGGTCTGCATCCTGGAGGCCGGATTTGAAGGCTGATTACGTTACAGCGAAGCGACGAAGGCTGTCCAGATTCAAAGGCTCCTCAATATGTGGCTGACAAATGTGTCCTCTTTTTCCCCAGATTTTAAGCATGGGTCTGGTGTATCCTTCGTGGCCCAACCTATCCCAGAATTCATATTGCGGCCCAGCCATTTCCAGTTTCCAGCAATGGCGACAGCTACTTAGTTTTAATATTACCCTTTCTGGGTCACAAAATAAACTTTTAAGATACTTTTAAGAATGTAGCTGTGTAAACTTCAAATATCTGCTCGATTTATCAAGATATCACATATTTGCAAAAGTGCTCCGACGTTTTCGGAGACGTCTGTTACCCACTAGCTTGATAGCTAGCTGGGGGTTCAAGGCTCACTAGAGCCGGCGAACTCAGGTTAAACATGATAACTTCAAAATGTTATTGTTTGTTTTTTTTTCATTCAGTGTTTTATTTGTTCTTGAATAAAACGGTTTGGCTGAGATTAAAGTTATAGTTTTCAATCAGCTGAATAAACATCAAACAGAAAACCGATTAAACAGAAGTGTGAGATGGTTGAGAATTTACTCCAGTGTCCTGTTATAAAAAGAACACACCAGCACAGCTCAGGTTTGCAAAATTACATCTGAACAATCATCTCTAGGAAAAATAACCTGTGGACAGGTTAGATCAATGTGGAGATGTTTGGCCATAATGGTACCACATATGAAAGAGAAGCAAAACGTGTATATCGACACAAACACCTGATAACAACTGTTAAGCACGGTGGTTAAGGACTGATGATTTATGCTCGTTTTGCAGCCACAGGACTTGGTAAACTCCTCTTTACATTCTACAGTCAAATGTGGGGCCACCTCTCCGACAGCTTTGCTGAAATTGGCTCATGCCAAGACAATGGTTCAAAGCACAGCAGCAAATCCACAACAAAATAACTGGGAAAAAAAAGAATCAAGATGTTGCACATTTCAAGTCTGGACCTCAATCCAATGAAAATGCTGTTAAACCTTAAGAAAGCTGTCCATAAACAAATGCATGCAAACCTTGTAAAGAACAGAAGAAGTGAGTCTTGGATACCTGAAAAATGTCTGGCACTCACATAATCACTGTGATTAGTGAATATGAATTACTGTCACTATTATTCCCAATTCTCTCATCATTTACAGTTAAATGAAAATAAAGAATAATCACTTATTTTTTCTTCCAGAAAGAAATTAACGCACAGTAACCTGCATTCCTACTAAAATTTAGGAATGTAGTGGAGACTGGCTGCAAGCCAGTTAGAGCCCTAAGAAAGCTGTTTATTTACTTACTTTACTTTAAGCTTATTATGCTCCAACTATGAATAAACCTTGCCCGCTATCTTTTGAACTCGTAATCTCACTATAAATTTTTGGACTACAGTGTATGGCATACAAAATTATATCACGTTATTTAATAAAGAACGTCCTAGAAATGCCTTTTCCCTTAGGTTTCTAAAGTATTGCAGCATGATTTGACAGAAAGGGTGCACACGATCCAGTTTTCAGTGTTAAAAAGAGATGCGACTCATTAAAACATTGGTTCTCCAAACTGTGGAGCAGCCACCTAATCCAGTAGGGAACAGAAACCTACCATAGGGATTTGGTCAGCCAGAGGAAAAATACACTGTGGAAAAAACTCAGTTGCCAAACCAAAACGACAATAAAAACATAAATTCCTATAAAATGATTGCCATTTGTTAGTACTAGTTGTGAGTTATACAGAGATATTACATTTTACTTCAACTTTCTAAATATTAAAATTTAATCACTATTGTCATATTCATTATGAAGCATTTCTCCATTCCTTCATTGTAAATAAGAGCTATTAACAATAATTTACAAAGCGCTAGTTTTGAATGGAAACCTTTAATGCAGTAGAAGACCAAGCTGTGAATTAAATCTGCAAATCGGATAAAAAACATAAGACAACCATTCTCTAAATCATGTCAGAAAATAGTGGCATATATTATAATGAACCTGCATGACTGGTACAAGCTGCATGCATGCATATGTGGCGACTATCCATGAACATTTTTTTTATATTAAAAAAACATACTGCACATTTCAAAAAAACATAAACGCATTCCTGTCTGTATGGAAATATCAGACAAAAAAAGAAGCTAGGGACTGAAGCCAGACTGGAAATAGTAAAAAGAAAAAGGTCTGATAACCAGACATATGTTAGCTACCATGTCAGTATCTTCAGTTACATCTTAGAAGCTGAAAAGCTGCAAACCTATGAATCCATATTATTCTTGACCTTAAACCTCAGAGAGGCAAAAGTGCAGACAAAAAAGAAGAACAAAAAAAAAAAAAGCATACCAAATGAATTAAAATATTCAGGCACAAGAAATTTGAATAGGCTTACAGTAAGATTTTCAGTAGCATATTTTACATAACCACAAAGTAATTCAATGCACTGGCACACGTATAAGTAAAAAGCAAGGCTTAAAAAAACTGTTTTTTAGTAGAAAGAAAAATCTGGCGCAATTTAAATTTGCTTCTCTCCTCCTTAAACTAACCTTAAAAGCACATCAATATCACTATTAGTATTGTTACTGTGCTACTGTATATATTCATAATAGTATTTTGACATTACGATATTAAAAAGTAAATCATTACAAACATACCTCAGAGAGTGTAAACAAATCCTGACATCATGCAAACTGGAGACATTTTGATCCGCCACATGACGACAGTCATTCAGCACGTTACAGCTGAACACATCCTGAGGTGGAAGATCAGTTTGGTCCACTACAGATCTTGAAACTTATACATTCAACTGAGTCACAACTAGATCAAAGAATTAAAGAAGACATCCAAGTAGTCCGAACGCTGTTTGTGGGTTAGACACCTGATGAACGCGTCCACTGGGAAAATGTCTGACTTCCTTGAGACATAAAAAGCTTCTGTCCTCTTGGGATAGGAGGTGTTTGATCCTCAGTACATGAAAAAGGTCACTGAGAAAGAGAAAAACCTGATGGCTGATTTGCAGCATTTGACCACTTTTCCCTGTTTAGCATCAGGATACAAAATGCGCTCTCATGTCTTTTGTGATTGGCAGTAAATTGTTTGATTTTCGCATAAATACCTTCTTGCTTCTTCCTACAATCTGGATCCAGCGGGGTCTCACAATATTACATGTTAGGGCAGTTTGTCAGTAGAAAAAGTGCATAAGGTCAACAACAAGCGATAAAAAAACACATTTACTCTCTATGTTAATGATAAAAGATAATGAAAAATATCCAAGTAAAACACAATCATATTTGATGTTGGGGTTTTGTAGTAATTTTTAATTTTTCTAAACACCTGGAGTCCCTAGACCAATAGCCGTATCAAAGTTGTCTTTGGAGTTTAAAACTGAGTTTGAAACATGTCAGAAAAGCAGTAAAAAGTCTTTAAAATGCCCTTATTTTGATTTCAGTCCAATTTTTTAAATCCTTCTATTGGTATTCCTCTCTAAGTCCTTCAGTACTCAATGAGGTCATGTGTGGGTGTGCCCAGTCGCAATCTGAAAATAAGCATCTGTTCATTGAAAAAAACCTTAAACATTCATAATATCCACACGAAGAAAGGCATCAAAGAGATTGGTCCAGTGGGAAGTTTTGTCTCTTGGAGTTTAAAATACTCCCTGGATAGAAGATTAAAAAAGGAAAATAAGTTGTGGGAGGGGGGTGCAGGTTTAAAGAGAGGACGAGCTCTGGCTGTAATGTCTCAGCAGCAGCTGGTCATATTCAGCCTCAGAGGCAGGGGACAGGGAAGGGGGAGAGCTGCCATTGGAGCTCAGAGATGAGTCTCTAAATGGAGAGGGAGGCGTCAGAGCCATGAGCTCCTCCATATCCTTGGCCCGTCTGCTACTCACGCAAGTCCCGGCCAGGTGCTCATAAATCTTACCCGCTGGTCGATTCTCGCAGAAACTGGAGACAGCTGTTACCTCCGCATATGTGGTGACGGTGGAGGGTGTCTGTCTGTTCCTGGGCGCGAGGTACTGAGGTGGACACGCCGTGGTGTCTGCAGTAGCAGCAGGCAGAGCAGTGGTGGAGGGTGGGCTGACGGTGGCTCCCCCTGGCAGCATCATGGTATTCAGCTCACTGATGTTGGCAGTGAAACGGTTAACCACACTACTGATCTGGTCCATGATTGTGGTACCCTGAGTTTGGCCGCCAATCATCCCTATGCCAATGTCACCCACTCCTATGATGCTAATGTCTCCATCATTCAATGCACCAACATCTTGGCTGTTGTCCCCGCCCCTTCTTCTCACCCCAGCGGGGTGCTCGGGTAAATAGGTGAGTAAAACTTCTGCATCCTCAGCATCCTCTCCTCCCTGATGACACACCGCCTTCGCTGCATGCTGACTGATGGTGGGCAAAGGTGACTGAGAGGGTGTGCAGGTGAAAGACTGAGAAAGCTGTGGCTCTTCGTACTGCTCCTTGACACCGTTGTCTGCTGGTGTATCCCCATCTTTAGAGAATGGCTTGATGATGGCTGTCTGATTTGCCTCGACTGGATCCTTTTTCTTCACGTGAAATGACATCCTCTTCCACAGGTTTGGTCTGTATCCACGCTCATTCTGTGTCCATGTAACTGATTTCCCATTGGAACTGAAAATCACATGAATGGCAGTAAGTAATCTCATACTTATGGTGTAATACTGCAAGTTGTCAGTAAATATGTAAGTATTTGGTGTAAATATCTGTAATTTATTTCAACATCACACCAGGGTTTTTTTTAAACTATTATAATCCATGATGAGGGTCATATTCCAATTCCTCTCACGAGTATTTCTACTCTCCTATGTTCTATCTTTTGCCTGCTGTGTAATATTAAGTCTCTTTGCATGTTCTTTTATCCTTCCTCGAAAGAGAAATCCTTAAAGGCAGTGGGGATCCTTTGGGAGTGCGTAACCCAAATGAGGTTACATACTCCCAGCTCTGGGAGCAGTTTTTCTTGGCTTCATATTCAGCCTGTTGCAACAACTTCTGCTCTACGTGTATAAAGCTTAAAGAAGAGATGTGGATGGCTGTGCTCTTAGCTGTACTATATCTAAGCAGATCTTCCATATCGTTTGATGGACTCATGAACAGAAACAACTAAAGAAGGTGACTGTATTTTCTTCTCCAATCAGCAGTTAGTTAAACCTCATATCCACCGTATCACCCCAGCTGTCTGTAGCTGTCCCATTTTAGCTTCAGCTCAATCATATTTTTATCTTGTTGTACACTATGGGGCGATCGTGGCTCAAGAGTTGGCAGTTCGTCTTGTAATCGGAAGGTTGCCGGTTCGAGCCCTGGCTCTGATAGTCTCGGTCGTTGTGTCCTTGGGCAAGACACTTCACCCGTTGCCTACTGGTGGTGGGCCTGGTGGTGCCAATGGCAGCCTCGCCTCTGTCAGTGCGCCCCAAGGCAGCTGTGGCTACAATGTAGCTTACCAGTGTGTGAACGGGTGGATGACTGAATGTAGTGTAAAGTGCTTTGGGGTTCATAGGGACTAAATAAAGTGCTATACAAATACAGGCCATTTACTATGGCATTGCAAATGTGGCGTGCAACTCCTATCAAACGTTATTTTTTTTAATCGAAAATATCATCGGAAACTGTGCCAATATGGTCTCATATTGCTTGTCATTATAAATTAGCAAGCACTAAATATAACTTTCATTTTAAAAACATAAATTGATTCAAAGATTTTATCTCACAATGTGTCATTATACAGTTGCTAATGGAAAAAATAAGCCACTACTTAAGGAGTTCACTCTAGTTTAAATGCTATGGAGAGTAGGAAACACTTTAAAAATTCAAAACAGAGGTAGTCCTACAGTACATGACCTCATTTCATCTCATGGCCAAACCACCCTGAGCATGCTCAGTCAGTACTTGGATGGGATATCACCTGAAAATACCAGATGCTGTAGACTTGGGGCATGTGGCTCAGGTGGTAGAGTGGGTTGTCTACCAGTTAGAAGGTTAAGCCAAGTTTATCATATTACAGTCATCAGAGTGTGTGTGTGAATGTTAGACACAGCCCTTGAACATAGACAAAATGTTAAAGCTATTGATTGATAGGCTCACAGCTATGTTAATAAAATCTTTGTTTGTTTATTTTTATCTCTATATATATACGTTAATGCCAGCTTGTACCTTATGTTGTCCTGCGTAGAGCCACGACGTCGAAACAAGTTGGCCATGCTGCTAGAAGATTTGCCAGATTTGGCAGCTTTCTTAGCATCGCCCACATGCATGCGCACAACTGTGGATGTGGTGAAAGCGCTGCGGACATTTTTCTCGGGCTTGGCGAGCATGATGTAGACCTGATAATGGAAATGAGCAAGAAGGAAGTGTAAAAAAATGTGTGAAAAGGAATAATGCCAAACCAAACAGAAAATCTTTAGATTTTTAGGGTTTTTTTTTCTTTCTTACCTTGGGGACAAACATGCAGCAGAGAGCCACTGTGGCACTGAGGCTGACACTAAAGCACATGGTTATGATCTTGTAGTTGGAGCCAAAGTAAATTGGAACAAAGGCCAACCAGATGATACAGGTGGTGTACATGGTGAAGGCAATGTACTTGGCCTCATTAAAATTAGCTGGTACATTACGAGTCTGTGTGGGAAAAGGGAGCATGTACATTTTAAAGCAGGGCGTGGTAAAGTAAAACGAACAGTACACAGGAAAGAAAAGTGAGTAACAAAAACATATAAAAGTAACTGAAAATCTTAGTAAGCCTTGCATTATTGACTAATGCTATGTTGAAGTACCTTGAAGGCGTAGAAGGTGCAGCTGAGGATAAGCAGGCCATTGTAGCCCAGCGGTGCTACCACCCCCAGAGTGGTCAGATTGCAGATCAAGTGCACCTCACGGATACTGGGGTAATCATAGATCACCTAAAGAAAGGAAGAAGCTTCTCTAGTTGTATAAATAAATGTATATGACCATTCCCCACATTACAAAGGAAACCCGCACATACCTGTGGTGGCTCTATGATGAGAAGTGCCACAATAATCCCCAGCTGCAAGAGTATGAGTAGGAAGGCGATGACCAATTGTGCGCAGGCGGACATAAAACGCGGTTTCTTGGTACAGATCTTCTTTTTGCTGCCTGCCAGGATCCGTGCTATGCGGTTGGTCTGGATCAAAAATAGATCAAATGGTTATGCAGGCTTCAATTACATCGACTGTGGAGAATACATCTTGCACTGATTCATGACAATAATCCCCTTCCCAGTTCTTCAGCAGCAACCTCAGCCCACACTCAGACCCTCAACTTCTACCATGCTTCTCTTACAATTGGCTATCATTCAGTCTCTGGAGGTGGCTCTCCCAAAATTACTCTAGAGTTGCCATTCTATTTATGCTTGAAAACATAAGACTACAACAGTAGATAAGCAGTTTGATAAAAAGTAGTTTATAAAGAGAAATTTAAATGAAATTAGAAAGCCCTTGCTCTGTCAAAATTATAAAGTCCTTTAAAGTCAGTCATTTGGGACTCATAGAAAAAACATCTTCTTTGAGTAATTTCGTCTTCCATCCCCTGAAGCTCTCTACGCACTGCTCTTGAGCTAAGGCCACATGAAGCTTGGAGGTTTGTAGCGACTGACTCTGCAGAAAGTTAGTAAACTTTGCTCACTGTGCCCCTCAGTGTCCACTAACTCCAATTTTACATGGCCTTACACGTCATAGCTGTGTTGTTGTCATTCTCAATTGCTACCACTTTCATATAATACCGCCTACAGTTAACTGTGGAATATTTAGTAGTGAGGAAATTTCGCAACTAGTCTTGTTGCACAGGTGGCATCTTGTCACGGTACAACGCTGGAATTCACTGAGAGCGACCCGTTCTTTCACAGAAGCAGTCTGCATGCCTAGCTACTTGATTTTATGCACTTGTGATGATGTAGAATCGAAAACCGGTTCTTGTTGACAACCGGTTCCCACTGTTTCAATTAATTTGAATTGTTTGTCATTTTTGCAAACAATTCCCCACGTTGCAGAGCGTCATGTACCTGGCAGGAAACATGGTGCCTAAGCGGCACAAATGTTTGGTTATACTTTACGAGAACGGATGACAACAGGACAACTTGCAATACTTGAAAAGTAGATATTTCATTTAAGGGAGGAAACACTACGAATATGCAAAAGCATTTGCTCACAAAACACACGATGACCTTAAATGAATGTCGTGTTTTTAATTCCGCTCTCCGGACTCGTGAATCTCAACCCAGCAGCAGCGGTAATGTTTGCACATCCTTTCCTGTTAATACGGCAGGTAAATAATCATCTAACAGTGCATATTATGTTAGCACGATCTGCCTTATTACAAAACCTGCCATTACTGTGCATTTAGGTGACCATGATGAGAGAGGCAGAGTCTGGTTGGCTCAGATGCTGGCAGTTCTTGCTGCAGTCTACCAGTAGCGTCTCCTTTTAGGCCAGGATTGACGGATGTCACCGAGCAGTGACTAAGTTTGTGGTCAAAGGCTTGCATCTATTTGCCACAGCAGATGGCCCCGATTTTGTGAATGTGAATGTGTTTAATTGTAGGCAGGGACATTACTGGATATTCTTGTGTAATTTCTACAGAATAATTTATGTTATACTTTGTTATTGCTACAGACAAATACTTATTTTATTATTTTACATTCACAATTTTTCTTCTTCTGGGGACTCCGTGACACCCCATCGAAGAGCCGTAGGCTGTGGATCTCTTAACATCTCACTGTTGGGTTACTCCTAAATTTCTTGTTCAAAGAGAAGATATAAAACAAAGTTCTAAGCTAATCGACCTGTGTCTTCTCCTTTTTTAAAAACAAGGATCGATAGGAGAATCGATAAAGAATCGAATTGTTAAACAGAATCGAAAATGGAATTGGAATCGTGAAAATCTTATCAATTCCCATCCCTAGGTATAGTAGTGATAGAGGGATGGTGATATAGGGAAAATGTGATCAGAAGTACACATATAAATTTGATTTTGAAATTTCTGATCTTAAAATTAAATACTGTAGAATACCTATTTTAGTGCTTAAAAGAATAAGCTGATTTCAAATGCAGCTGATACACAATGAGCACCTGTTTTAACCCACTTAGTTTCATAGGAAGTGAAAGAAGACGCTAACGTGCATATACTTTATGTGCTTGTTCCCCTACCTTCTGATAACTAAACAGAAAAAGTACCTTGGTGACGAGAGCAGAGTAGCTCATGGCAGGGGACAGTCCGATTCCCAGCCGCTGGAGGTAGCAATAGACAATGTGCGGCTTTGCGATAAGACTGAAAGTACACAGGTAGCCCAGACATATTCCTGCCAGAATAATGTAGCAGAGCTCCCGACTGGATGACTTGACCACAGGAGTGTCCCAAAACCTACAGATAAATGAAACATCTAGATTCACATAGCTGATAAAAGATACGCAGAGCACCGCAGTGACTGTTTTACTTTGTCTAATTAAATGTTAGTCATACAAAAGCATGAGACATTCAATACTGCAAAGGATGTATTGCATATCACTAACTACCAGTTGCAAACAGGGACATCAGACTTTAAAAACATCTACAGAGTTGCAGTAAAACACCAACAGTAGGTCAAAATAAACTGATGTTAGCCCTTGCTAGTCCTGAATATGTATGTAAACATCCTGAGCATTCATAGTTAAATGTATAGATACTGGCTCCAATTACTTGATGAAAACAGATGTAACAAAAAGTGTAGCCATGAGGCCCAGGCAGGCAAAGACTACAGCAGCAATGGGCTCTGGATCCCCCCAGCGGACATACTGCACTGGAATTGGCTCACAACCTGAGGGGTGCAGAGAGATCATGATTAGTGAGAGAAAAAACATGAAAAGTTTCATTCAAAAATGTGATGCATTTGTAAGCGAAATATTAAAACTAGTGTATTTATGTATTTTCATGAAACAGGCAACAGACTGTAGCTTACTGTAGCTTACTCCAGCAACAGATTTTCACTCATGTTGCAACACTGTGGGCATCAACAATGTAACTGTTGTGTGTAAAATTTAGGAAAAAATATTTTTTTCAAACTAGAGAGGAAATAAAATATGATAGGACAGTTTACAAAGAAATCTGGATCTAGGTCTCTTTATATGTGAATACTATCTCTGTGCAGTAGTGGGTCTTTGTACAGAATGCTAGGGCTGTTAACGGATGTGGTCCACCGTCACTGCGGTGGACCCAGATTTCGTGGCTCCTCTGACCGCTGCGGAAACCGTGTAAGTGTAAGTGAAAGTGCCACAGATGAAGTAGTGCATACCAGTGAGGTCATCTGTGGGCCAGGAGCCAAGCTCACAGGCTCGGCAAGTGTACTCATCAAACACGAACTCGTTCTCTTTGCAGGGAGTGCAGGTCCAACAGCAGCTCACCTCTCCTTTACGGATCACCTGGAGACACAGACGCACCAGTATGAAAGACTGGAAAGGTCTCAATGCTCCAATGACAATTTCCTGTAGGTAATCTTACCCTCTGACTGCTCCACATGCTAAGAAAATGAGAATTTGTTCACCAGGGGAGCAAATGAAGAAGAAAAAAACGTCCAGAAGGTAATTGAGTCTCATTATTAACAAAAAACTTTCCTCACCATAGCAACACGTATATGAAGAAGTGTAGCTGGAAAAGGAAAAGTGGAAGTGCGGAGGGTTAGTGGTTAGTGGTCTGGAGTTTTAATCAGAATTACTAAAATTTTTGTGCGGAGTTTCCCATTTCCTTTGGTTCTGCCGCATCCTCTAATAGTGCGAAGGTAGGTTGCCTTTGTGGGTGAACATGATTGGGAATCTGTCTGTGTAGGTTCCCAGTCATCCAGGTCATGACAGTCTAAGGAAAGAAAACGACTGGACTTTCTCAAATTTCTTGAAGACGTTTCACCTCTCATCCAGAAGAGCTTCTTCAGTTCTGAAACCAAATGGTGGAAAGTCCCAGGTATTTAAATCCTTGTGGCACCACTTTTAATCATGTGCCCCACCACATGAGCCAAGATGTGGAAAAAAAAGCATGGGTCACTACCACAAGATCCGAGCGGGGGTTGAGGCCTCTGGGTAGGAATCTCAAGACTGCACTGTAGGTGGTGACAGTTTCTCTATCCGTTAATGGTCGTTGACAGTGGACATACATGGCCTCATTTACTCCTTTTACTCCCGGTCCAAAATATGAACACTGGCATCCTCAAAAGAGTGACCTTTACCCTTTAGATGTACAGCTGAGTCTTGTCCACTCTAGGTGACTGTTTGTTTTTTCCAATATGGAGGTTATTAACAGTTATTAACGCAAGCATAAACTTAAGAGCAAATCTGAAATGCTTGTGAGAGGTGATCATATTCTCGTTCTATTTCTTTCACTACATGTATTTTTCAGCCACTACAGGAAAACTTACAAGCCTATAAAATGCCATATGTTGTCATAGCTCTACAACGATTTCCCCACAACAGTTGAGATAAATAAAGGTGGTATGGTATTCCAACAGGCTGCTTCTGTAGCGGTGCACTGCTGCACATAAACAACAGGGTGTCAGAAGTAAAGAGGGATTCATATTAGAACTTAGGGGAAAATACTGGAGAGGGACACTTCAGTGTTCTTCGTGATTTGAATTATCTGGAGGAAGCTTAAAAAGGTCCAGATGGGAGATGATAAAAGCTTGAACAAAGAGCTTTGCTGAATCCCTGGCAGAGTACTCGAGGATCTGACTGGACCAGTTTTAGAAATTGTGAACCCGTGGGATCAATTTAAGGCTGCTGTGTGGGTCGTGTTTTTTCGAAAGGTTTCTTCATTATAACTGTCCCGAGTTGTCTGGTCTGTGGTTAAATGTGGTCATATGGCATCATGAATTATGAGCAGCATCAGAAAGAGAAAATGTTCATAATCCACCCTTTAGTTTGATGCACACATTAAAATCAAGTCATTTGCATTGTCTTTTGGTTTGATATATGATCTTGTCACGATTGTGTGTACAACTATTGCTACAAACTGTAAAAAAAAAAAAAAAAAAAAAAGCAAATACATTATAGATTAAAATTTTGAGTATTAAACCTTAGAGGTGTAACTCTGGCCCTTGAGTGCGCTGAACGGGTTCATACCTTAATCTGTGCCTTCTGGCAGGGCTCAGAGCAGACTGACTGGATGATTTCACTGTTGTTGCTCCAGATTTCTTCATCATTCATCTTTAGGCCACCCTGATCCCAGCTTCCCACATGGATGTAAGCGTATTCATCTTCACCTGTCTGCTTGAAGTTCATGATTTCATACCTGAGGCAAGCATGCAATATACACACACATTAAACAGCAATTTATGCTTTTCCTGCCCCCTTTTTTCTGCCTTTGCCATCTCAGGCCTTACCTGCCGGGTGAGTCTCCATTCTGGTCAAAGAGGATGGCCTCCCCAGATACACCAGTAAAGTTGGTTTTCATCAGGAAATCTAGCAGCTTGCGACCATCAATGGGACGCATGCTCTCACACAAACCCTGTGGAAGAGAAAGTGATGTCACTGCTGTCACAACTGATGTGAAAGCACTTAAATGTTTTCTATCAGTCCTCATACCTTATATCCTGGACAAAGTGCTTGTTGCATGGCATGTAGGCCATAAGCCATCGAATAAATGGCATTTATGACAAAGCCCATCTTGGTGTCTTGAGCATATTGATGCCGCAGAGACTCTCTCCCTGTGGACAGAAAGGAGATAGACAATAGAAAACCCTTGTAATGATAGTATTTTACTGATTCGTTAAAAGTGTCTAAGTAGGTGTTTTACTAACAAGTGCAAGTGCGGTTGTAAGCAGTGCTCTCCTGTGGATGTCCCTTCAACCTGCACTGGAAGCGGTGCTGCCAGAACTCGGGGAACCAGGGGTTCCTCAGGTTAGCGTCAGGCTTTAGGTTCAGGTAGTAATCATCAAACCAGGTCACATACGCCGACTTTAACTTTATAGTGATTCCCCCGGCTGCTTCCTTCTGGTAGCCATTAGTCACATCATACCTGTCAGCCCAGCCATCGCTGGACAGGAGGAAGGGAAAATTAGAAAAAAGTGCAACAGCTAGTTTAGGTAAGTACTGTTACTATTAGGATGTTATTCTTCTTATTTTTTTAAATTATTTGCTTCATTATTTATTTTTATTATTTATTCTTTTTATTTCATTGTTTGGCTTATAAATGTGAGTATAAAGTATATAAAAACATAGCTAGTGGGACAGCTAGTTCCCAGAAAGCATTCAACGGGTGTAGTGCACACAGCAAGATTTGCTAAAAACTTGTTATTGCCTGTTATCTGTTAAGCACAGCTGGAAAACTTGACACTTTACACCAGAGAAACAAATTGAAAAGGGCTACACTGCAAACTGTAAAAGAGACATCTCTTTAAAGCACCATTCAGGACTATCAGATAAGAATTATTCCTTAAACACACAAGTACAGCAAACCTGGAAATCGAGTGTGAATGTCAGCGATATAGAACCCTGGTGCTTTTCTGCCAAGTAATGCTTTTCAACCCCTACCTACCTATAAATATATATGGATTTTTATATGGATTTTTCAAAAACTGCCCAAGGGCAAGTGGCATCTTATTTCACAGGTAACAAATATTTTCCAATTTTCAGCAAAACTGACAAATACAATCATCACACCAGGAATCAAGAAACTTATGAAATTGATTTTTAGATTTCTGAGACTGTCACAGCTGAAGGAAATTATCTGCGAAGCCCACAAACAAGAAGCATGATCATATTTTACTTCTGTTATTAATATATTTTCCTAAACTTGTTCTATAGATTCACACTCCTTCCGAGTTTGCCTCAAAAATAAATCTGGGTCAGTGTTGCAATAAGCATTCATATGTTTTCCTATGAGCGCTTGCATCTATGCTTTTAACATGATCAGATCGTGTTGCCATGGCAACTATGCAGTGTTGAACTGCTTCCCCCTCCTCACTGCTTGCAGATATCTTGTAGTGGATTTAGAAAGTAACATAACACTGAATTCACGATGGAAGGGATTTTTTTTTTTTTTTTTTTGCTGAAAAGCTGTTGTGTTGATAATAATTTATTGGCACACAATTGCTCAGACTGGAAGAGACCAGAGGTGTCTTCATAAATGAATGACTGAAATGAGAATAACATTTACAATGATGACTCAGATAAGCCAACACAAGACTTACAAAGTTCTAAAAAATAAAGCATTTGTTTTAAGCATTTTCTATTGTTTTTGTTTTTTTTATTTCCCTATTTTATTCTTTAATTAATTTCTCAGATTTTAACAACTTGCATCTCTGCACCAATCTGTTACTATTCCTTTAAATCTAACTGTCAAGGTTCATAGTATATTGGAACTCAAAATTATGACAGAAAATATTTATTTTTGTTTGGCGAAGGACCTTAAAGGTCCTTTTTCTTAAAAAAAAAAATCCACCGCCGAATAAACTCCAAACAAACATCAGCAGACTGCAGTGTCTGCACATCTGATGTGGTGTCTTTTGAAAAACACAGAGGTCTTGGAGTCAATAAGCTATATCTATCAGTGAACTGCTTGAAAAGATTTCTACTCCCATCTATTATTATCTCTCCCTCTGGATACTTGTCTACAGTCAGAAAAAAGGCAAAAAAAAGAAGGGTGATTACACATCCACGCATGTGCATACATGTAAAAATGCACACTTCACTGACACAAACAATTGCACTCTTCTAACTGAAAAAAAGAAGTCATTTTTGAAAACTTCGCTAACCGAGCTGGAGTTACACAACAGTAGTGTGGGTGGATTTTTTTTTTTTTTTTTTATGAGAGTGAGGTAGGAGATCATTTCATAACTCATCCTTAGAGAAGCAAGTACAGAAATGGTACACTGGCATGAAAAAGGCAGAAATGGATATGAAAAGCATGGAGGGCTTTGACTCTGGATAGTTTGAATCACACTTGAACGAGAGCTCTAAAACCCACACATCGACCTTGGAGGGCAATATGCTGTATGCAGCATGTTGCTACACCACCTACAGCCTGAAGACTCACATAAACGTGCAAGGATGTGCATCCACAGACACACATACACACACACAGATACGTGTGAACACACATCGTTTTCTTATTTCACTTTAAAATACATGTATGAGCAGATTTTTATGAGGAAATACTTTAGAACTCCTCACTTCTATAAAACAAACTTGAGGCCACAAACGTTCCCATATCTAAAATCTGAAAATTTAACAAAACACACATACAAAAAAAATAAATAAATAAAAAAAATCCAAACCAGCTGTCTGACCAAAAGAAGAAAAAAAACACTCGTCCCACAAGCAACCAGTCCAATGCATCACACCAATTTGCAGGTGAGAAGCCAGTCGGGGGTTGGGTTGCTATGCTAACACTAAAAACTCCAAGTGATTAGTTGGAGCGCTTTGTAAAGGAACTGATGGAGCGTGTGTGTCATGAGTGGGCAAAGAGGAATATGCAGACAAAACAAAATAAATGAAAAATAACCTTTTATTTGGTTCAAAGACTAAAAATGGCCCAAACTGGAAAATCCAAACGCAGGCATAAGCATGTGGCACACGAGGGACCAAACACAGAATCACAAACAGAGAGAAAGACTTGACAAAAAGATCCAAGAAATTAGAAGGGAGGGCAAAAGTAAACCAAACACAAAGAATCAAATATTAATAACACAAAATCTTTTTGCCTTTATATACAAATGTGATACATTTTCATTTATCCATAGATATCTATCTACATGAGCTCAGTTTTGGATGCTGATCAGATGCAGCTGTATAAAACAGGCTTAAGTACCTCAGTTTAAAAGCATCCAGTCTAGGCATGTACTGCAAGGTGACAGATCTTTCAAGCTAATGAAAATGATCGTTTGTGGAGGCAGCTAACAAGAAATGCAAGAAAAATGTTGAGTGATGTTAAATACACATCACTGAAGGACAGAACTCATAAAACGCGTGCTCATTAATGCTTGCATGAATGCATCAAAAACAACTGGAGACAAATCTGACACCTCCGCAGTACGTTTCGAATCTAATCACCCTCATAATGAGGGACATCTTAACAAATTAAGCACAAGTTTTAATAATGAGCACATTTCAACAGCACAGCTACCTGAAAGCTCTGTATGGATAACATAGATGGTAGAACACAGTGTTTTGCAATATGTAGTTCAAGGTTATTTTATGTTTCCTGCTGTCAGATTTGAGCGACAGCCTACATATGTGGCTCCTAATGAGGAAAGGCATTTATAGACCACCAGGGACAAGAGCGAGCCAGAGAGCTAAACCTTAAAATAAAACATGTTATTCTCGGAGAGAGTGAAACCTCCTGCTAAATCAACCACCTCTTTCTGCTTGTTTTCTCCCCTTGTGTATCTAATTGAATGCTTTCCTCCCTGCTCGGTTTTCACAATCTTTGACAGTTTCTTCATTTAACGTATCGTTAGAATGATCTATGCATTAAACATAGGCCACATCAAGAGCAGATTTGATGTGGTATGGTGCGAGATCTCTTATAATGATGACTATGTTTTAACATACTGGACATCAGGAAAACAATGCTGTATCTAATGATTAGACTACTCAGATTTTCTTATAAAAGGGAAACAGAGTAACTGGAATACGTTGGTCTGGCACTATTTACTGTTGTGACAGCTATAATAATAATAATAATAATAATAATAATAATAATAATAATAATAATAATAATGTATGGCTCTGTTACCTTTTTCTCTATATGGAGCTGCAGTAGCAGTAGTAATTAAAATTTAATAAATGTTAATATATTCACAACTGAACTAAAAATGTGCAAAAAAGATGTAAAAAAAAAATACCTTTGATTCCATGATGTTGATGGATGCAATGAAAACACTGATGATAACAAGGATAATGATGATGTTGGTGATGATGACAGGAAGACAACAAATCAACAATCTTCTCTTGATGGTGGATATCAGAAGAAAATCTGTATTGGCAAGTAGCACATGATACTAAGAGGATTTAACAGCTTCTGATAACAGCAAAAAGTCCAACAATTAAGAAATGCAGTCTAAAGAATCCTACATACCAGAAGTCGCCACTCACCTTCCGACGAGGACGAACTCTCCCACTAGGCGTTGTCGTCTCATGGCCATCAGTATCCCTCGGACTGTCATGCCCTCACAGAAGCAAGCCACAACCCTGGCTTTGGGTAGATGGCCTCTGAGTTTCTGCAAAAGCTTGTCAAAGCTTTGCTCCCCTGCATTGCTGTATATCTTGTCAGAGTGGGCAATGCAGATCCCTTCTTTTGCTGCCATGTCTTTAAATGCCTCCATACCGCTCTCACCATAATTACCTGTGGAGGTAACCACATGAATGCAATGGTGTTCATAAAAACATAAAAGCTGGGGGTCTGTTAAATAGTTGTTGCTAACTTCTTCTTCTTTTGACTGCTTCTTATCCCAAGCATCCTCCTCTGACACAACAACTCTTTGAACATCCTCCTGCAATACATGCGCAAGTCTTCATCGTCACATTACCCCAGTTCTTGAAAATTGCTACCAGTACACTTCTTCTCCATTCCTGAGGCATTCTACAGGATTGTGTTTAAAAATCTGGCCAAAAAGTCCACTGTCATCTCTCTTAGACATCTCCACACCTCCAAAATGGTGCCAGCATTTTTTCCATTCCTCATCCTCTTCATAACTGCAGTCACTTTTTTCTTACTAATCTTCTGCGCTTCCTGCTTCACTGACTATCTTCCATCTGTCCTCCTCCCTGTGACATTTTATTCATCAGCTTTAAAAGTACTCCCACCATCTTCTCAGCAAACTCTCTTCACATGTTAGTACATTTCCATCTCTGTCCTTAATCATCCGAACCTGCTGCACATCCTTTCCAGCTTGTGTATCATTCTCATCTAAATTTCAAATTTATCTCTGACTTTTCCAACAATTTTGTTCACATTACTGTACAAAAATTGCTTCAGCATCTTCATTGTGATGTTTCTAACACATTTACTGCTTAGCCCAATTGTTTTTAGTGTGCTGACACAGATACAGATGAATGAATGTATGAACACTTGCGTAATGCCAGCGCAGCACTTGGGAATCTGGTACATTTCCCCCCCAATTACAGGAATTGTCAGGGGTTAAACTTCCCTGTTTTTGCTAGAAATCAGGTCACCTACTTTCTCATGCTTCGCGAGGATGCTCTCCTTCTGACACTATTTGAAATATTTTTTTCTATCACTACACGTGAGTAACGTTGCTTGCGTTCTTGAGTGGCAGCAGCAACAGTTTTAAATTGATTTTCTGTGCTTTAGAAATGATTAAATTCTCTGCCATTCATACTAGTGATGCTGTATTTTATATACACTAAAATTGCTTTATACTCTTTAATGTTTCTCTGTGTTTGTTCTAACTTTCCAAGAAACTGGTTAACCTTCCATGGGTCTGAGAGTCTAACTTTTAAAAGACTAATAATCAAAGCTCACTCCATTTCACAGATATTTAAAAGTAAAGACAACCAAGGATGAATATTATTTATATATATATAACTTTCCAGAGTGGCGAATGCCTTCTTTAGCTGATGTAAGTGGTTCACAAAATTGTGGAAAACTGTTCAGGTAATATATATATATATATATATACATACATAGGAAAAAATCGAAGTGTACACATGTAATTACATTCATGAAATAAGAAATAGAAAGTCAGCTGGATAACCCCCATTGTGGACTACATGTTAAAAAATGCTAGAAGAATAGATGTAGTGTAAACATCAGACTACTTTGGAGAAGAAAATTCAGCATGCATAACACACTTACTTTAAATCCTCCCCTACAGTAGATTGGTAATTATACAAAAAGAAGAAGAAGAAGAAGAAGAAAAAAGGAACAATCCTGCCTAAATCTGGCACTTAAGAGCGATTTATTTCAGAATTGTATGTCCTGGAGCCACTGAGACATTATAAAAGAGGCAGTAAATATATGGAAACCCTTTTGAATAAAGATAAGAGTGATGCATTCGGAGTATATTTTCTTGTGATTAGTTAATGTTTGTTACACTGACGTTTGCTTTTTGGGGAGTGTTGTGCATTGCAGCCTGGTGTGTCATTGTCGCCAGAGGACAACAATAAATATGAACGTTTATTACTTTATTGCTGGAACATTAAGTAAAGTTATATACCTGCTGTAAGAATGTTAGGCAGAAACTTAAGCATTAATGAAATAAGGGGACAACGCAGCCTGATACACAAACAGTTCAAAGCTTGTGACAATGATCAATTTATATTTTTTTAATGATCAGTTGTACATTAACAGACAATGAATTTGCCTAAAAAATGCACATTGATACGTTTGTAGGCGTGGATGTAAAGACAAAAGCACATTTTAGAATTATTGCATCACAAGGCTTTTTGAATTTTTCGATATATTCAGCTAAGCTCCTTTTGCTGTGTGTTGTGCTTTTTTTTTTTACACCCCCTCACAGGTAAACTTAAAAATGCTTGAATCAGATGAATGAATGGAGAGTCACGTGCTTCCTGATGACTAAAACGCTTTAAAATAGATTCTTCAGATGCAACTGGAAAAGAGCTGTACCTATATGTATATATGTGGTCTTTGGCAGGAACAGAATAAAGCAGAATAACAGAAAAATCTCTAACACTCTGACATACACAGTCTTACCTTCAGTGTGTATTGCAGACACGTAGCTCCAGTTGTATCTCTTGACAATGTCCACCATTGCTCTGGCCTGTTGCATATCTGATGGTACTACTCTCATGAAATATTTATACAGGCTCTGTTGGAAGGAATTTACATGATCACCAGTCTGGCAGTTTAGCTGGCTTATCTGCATGCAACAGCTCGTCTACTAGTTTGCATATTCATTCCTTATAATCTTTACACCATACCCATCGCTGTGCGCTAGCTTCAAGCAGATTCTCAAAATTGAGATCACGTTTTATCAAACATGATGTAAACCAAGCTGAAGTTTTTAGATTGATTTGTGTTTTTGTATTTTACATGAAATTCCTTTTTATCAAAACAAAAACAAAAAAACTCAAAGCACTAACTGTTGTTTTGTTTTTTTTCCTTCCCTGCCACACTTGCCACACATGTCCTCACACTTTGATGAGGACATGCTTACTGCTTTGTTATTCAGTGTGGATTTAAAGTTTGCAGCTCTGTTGTTAGCGAGTTTGTTGACTAGCCTTACCTTGTCACTGAGATCCATGCTGGTGGCTGAGTAAGCTATCTGTGGGATGTTGAAGAGCTGGAGGAGATTTTGCACCTGGATGGCCACAGAGCTGGAACCTGGTCCAATAAGTCCCACAATAGGCTTCTTCCCCTGAAGAAGCATGCTCCCTCCTTCTGCCGTGCATCTGCCCTGGCTCTCCTCCTCGTCGCTGGACACTAGTGTGTCCCGAATAAACTCAATACTCTGTTCCAGTGCCACGGCAGAGTGCCAGCACGAATCCCTGGTGTAGAAAGACTGAGTTAGCAATCACACTGTTTTGGCAGGAATTATGGGAACATGAGGTGAGGATTGTACAGTCTGTGCTTCAGTGATTTTGAGGAAACCACTACACAAAGACAATTTCAAAATTCCTCAGAAGTCTGGAATTCAATGTTTAGGAAGTCTGCGCTAATCAGAGCAGATCAGTGTCTTTTAAGGTCTTTGTAGTACAAAATCCCCACTTTGTTTTCCATGAGCTGTGTCAGGAAACACAAGCAGGTCATCACAAGCAGGCTTGCTGATGACTTCAAAATGTTGCTTTTAAATACTGCATTTACTTCAAAAGAAACTACAGTCTACCCTTACCTGTCATGCTGCTTTTGTGGCTCAATTCCTCCAGCTACGGTTCACTTGCTTGCACTCAGCCATCTTCAGAGTCTATTTGAAAGTTTGCTTGGTTCTCCTCTGATGCCTATAAACATCTCCCCCCATGTACTTTGATACTGTCTATTCATTTAAAGCAACCAAAGTTTAGAAGCCTTCTTAAAATATCTTTCTGTGTTTAATATAATATTATAATTTATCTCATAATGAACCAGTCTGTAAGCCAAACCATCAGTTGAATAAAAATTCTTCATTGTGTAAATATTGTGTAAGGCTGACAACAATGTCCTGCTAAAACAAAAGGACAACACAGTGAGCTCTGTCAGTGCTGACCTGATCTCGCAGCCCAGGCTGATGTTGGGAAGGATGGTGGGGTCTGCATTAATTCGGTCCAGAGTGTGCATCATGGCTTCCACTCTCTGGATCCCGTACTGCTCACGGACCGCACCACACTTTCGCTCATGGACCTGATCAGCACAGATGGATCATTTACATTTGTGACACTAACCCCCTTAACGCCTAGTGTATGTGATTTCCCCCTTTTTTATCAATAAATTGCAAACAAAAAAATAACAAATGCACGATGGAGCAAATATGATACAAATTAAAATTCATATATGCAAATATTAATATTTTATTTGTTTTAATTGTCAGAAGGTTCAATAACCACTCCTGTTTTGCAAAATTTAAATTTTCTGGCGTTTATTTTATGACTCAGACTTTAAAGGGTTACGCTGAGATGTGTGCAAGCATATGCACATAAACACATCAAAATGTACCTTATCTGCAGGTGGTTGGTGGTGGACAGAGAACAGAGCTCCTATGATGATATCACCAGGGATATGTGCCAATACCCTTCTCTCGTTGTTCTGGGCATTGACCCCAACCTGGTCTTTCAAGCCCAGCCAGCTCACATCAGTTCCCAGCAGCACAGCCACCGCTAACAGCCGCACATTCAACTTCAGGATGTGTCCCATCCCCGTGGTCCTCGTTACACCTCCCGCCATCTTCTGACCACTTATAGCTGAGGTTCAGCTGAGGATTTTGCGTTTGGCTTTGTGCTTGTAGAGCCAAAGGCAAGGGTTGGATTCCTGAGCAAAAAGCATTATAGAATTATTTTAAAACATAAAAGTTCAGACAGCATTTTTAGGTACGATGAAAATGAAAAAATGTTTTCACTTTTTCTATGACATCCAGTTGCTGTCTGTGGTGCTGAAACGCCAATGCATCGTGTAACTTGGGTAAAACTGACATAGAGCCAGGTGTTTCAGTGGAGTACTACAACCTACTTAAAACTCGGAAATCTCCTCTGCTTTAATAATTCATCAACAGCCACAGAGTGCTTCGCATAAGCAAACTAAAAGATAGCTTCAGCCTACCTTATTTCTGCCCGTGCAGATGATATTCCTTCCGAGATCGTTTCCATCACCAAGGAGCAATTTTTAACAAATAAAAAGCGCGGCGCACTGCCTGGTTACAGCACACTGCAAATAGCAGCAGATAATGCCCGTTATTGGAACATGCTTGACTTACTGACGCACACGACAGCCCCCCCTCCTACTCCTTTTCCTCCTCCTCCTCCTCCTCCAAAACAGTGGAAAGCATGGAGCAACAACAGAAGGTATAACGATGGAATTCTTCTACAGGGGAGCTACTTAGACGCACTATTAAAAGACAAAAACAAAGGTGTGGGGGGGGGGGGGGGGGGGGTGAATGAAGGGAAAACAGAGGTGGGAGATCATTCGCGTGCCTTCCTGTTTTAATTGTTACCACCTTTTAATGAAATCTGCATAACTAGACGGCCCCCGCTCATTTGAATTTTTAACAGTTCATTTCCTCTGATTACATAAAAAGAAGTTTTAATAATTGTGTTTTGAGCCCATTCACAAATCACCATCTCAAAAATACTTTACTTATATTTGAAATTTAAATTCGTCATTCCAAAATCAGACCTGGCTGGAGTTTGGACTGCATGGAAAATGACAGTATCCACAAGAGAAGAGGAGATGAATTGATTGTTTCTTGGAATTCAACTGCAGCTTTTTCCCTCTCTTGCTTTAGGGCAGAATTTTAAATCACAGGTCTTATTTCTACAAAACTGACACCTCTCTCTGTTTCGCTGCATTTCTTTTAATGACATTCTGTTTTCGGAATAATAAAAAGGGAAGAAAGAAAGAAAAAATAAACCTGTGGCGTTACCATGCAAACCAGCCTGCAATCTCAATGTTGGAAGTAGAATCCAAGACATCCCACAACTTGTGTGTTGATCATTTTCACCTCAACAAAAAGGGCGTTTAATATGCTGTTTTTGATCATCTTCATCATCTGCATCTGAAAATAGGGGGAAACGTATAAGAACGGTGGGATTCCCTAACTTGCTTAGGGAATATAAATGTGAAAAAATAGTCACAGATTTGTTTGATTTAGTTACTTGAACGCAACACCAAGCTTTAAGAGACCACACTTTAGCTATTCACCTTAAAATAAAACACACACACACACACACAAGCCACGACGTCAGAAGCCAAAGGAATAGATTTTGATGAGAAGATATTTTGCAAAATTCCATCTGAGCTATCAAAATCCAGAAATCAACGCTCTCATGTGTGTACACAGGCAAATATAGAAGCTAACCTGTTCGCTGGTGTCCGATTTTGGTGTTTTCCTGTACATAAAGACAATTACATCATAAACTGTTAACCTAAACGTGCAAATTGGCGCATTAAAAATAACCAGATTGCAGGAAATTAAGTCTTTGATGCTCAAAATTATCCGGGGGAGGATTTCCCCGGATAATTCTGAAAGCCGTGTAAATTTGTCCACCCCCATTTAATGTCGCATCCAATGCACAAATGAAACCTATGCACACATATATCTAAGTAACTTACAAGTCACAATCACCTATTTACATCTTAGTAATTTCACCAAAATATGGGTGCATTTTCTACAATGTGTCAGTGAAGTCGAAAAGAGTATCTGCTCCTGAGCTGAGGCTTATTTATGGCTTATTTGCTGCCTTGGGAGACGGGCAAAAAGAAAAGGTAGGCCCAGTGAACGAGCAAGACGATATTTATGGCTACGTAACGCCCTCTGGTGGGGACTCGCTTGTCGACAAGGGTAATGTCCCAATCCCGTGAACATCACATGAAAATTTTTCCGCAAAGTGAAAAAGTTGAACTTTCCAGTGAAGTTGAGATAGCAGTGGAGATAACACAACAAACATTTACCGCTTCTACTGAAAGAGCACAATAAAGCTTTCTATAATATTACCACAATAAAGCTATTGCTTATGGCAGTTATCTTATCAGCTCGTCATATGAAGTCTCCTGTGTTGTGCACAATGGATCGTGACACCGGGTTCAGAATCATACGAATCAAAATTCCATAAGGGACTTTTTGGAGAATGCTTGGTTACACAACAGTCTACATATAAATAGCCTATACCACATACTAAAGTAGGAGGTCTGTTTGTTTTTTTTAAATCATATATGCAATGAAAATGTTCGTCTTTAGTGCATAATTTGAAGTTATTGGGTTATTTAGCAGTTATTACTCACTGATTTTCATTCATGTCACAAAAAGGAGAGAAAATACAACATGAAAGCAGATAAAAATATGAAAATGTGTTTTATGTTTGCTTGTCTTTGTTCATATTTCTCCTGTGGTTTGGGTACCGTCATGGTGAGTTTCATCCCGTAATGGCAGGAAAAACTGTTCATTTTAGTATGTGAGTGTGTAGATCATGAGTTTGTTTTGTTCTCACTATTAGGGCTGTGCACGCAGATATAATCTGAAACACATAACCTGTGAAAATAAAGAAGAAAGAACACTATTCTGATGTAAAAGTGGGCATACAGGTTTATCTTGCAGTATACTCATCAGATAACCAAACCCAAAAAAGCCCCACAGGCCATAATTATTTCAGTTTTACATCACTAAAGTCTGCAGGCTGTAGGCTAGATACTGTTAATCCCATTCAAAGTCTTATTTTTCATGGTAGAGCGCATAACCTCTCCCACCCCCATCCCCTGAAGTGAGGTGGAGCAGCATGTGACTGCCTCTACAAAAAAAAACTGGTGGGGGTAATGGGCGAGGATTTCAGCCAAGAATTCATAACATTTCTGGTTAATTTCTTGGTCTTGGTCTAACGTGAAAGATTGCTGTAATGTGGTCTCTGGAAATCATTTGTTTTCTTCTGTGTTTTGTACCCAGTTATCAACAGTTCCCCCGCTTGTGCGCAACTCAGGAAGCCCTGCGCACCAAGGAGTGCTGCCCGCCTTGGGAAGGAGACGGCTCGGCCTGCGGTGCCAGCTCGGGCCGGGGCACCTGCGAGGATGTGGTGGTCTCTGCGCACCCCGACGGGCCGCAGTACCCCTTCTCGGGATTGGACGACAGAGAGAAGTGGCCCTTGGTTTTCTACAACCGCACATGCCAGTGTACTGACAACTTTATGGGTTTTAACTGCGGGGACTGCATGTTTGGCTACTTTGGTGAGAACTGTAATGAGAGGAGAGAGTCTCTGAGGAGGAATATATTTCACCTGTCCAGGGCGGAAAGACTCAAACTCGTGTCCTACTTGAACCTGGCCAAGCAGACAATTAGCAGGGACTATGTTGTGGTGACGGGAACCTACAGGGAGATGCAAAACGGAACCAACCCGATGTTTGCCGAAGTGTCTGTGTATGACGTGTTTGTGTGGATGCATTACTACGTGTCCCGGAATGCGCTCTTAGGCGGGCCGGGGAATGTGTGGACCGATGTGGACTTTGCCCACTGGGCGCCCGCATTTCTCCCGTGGCACCGAGCATACTTGTTGCACTGGGAGCACGAGATCAGGAAGCTGACTGGAGACACGAGTTTCACCATCCCGTACTGGGACTGGAGGGATGCCCAGGGCTGTGACGTGTGCACAGACGAGCTGATGGGGGACCGGAGCACACAGGATCCCAGTCTTATCAGCCCCGGCTCGGTCTTCTCATCCTGGACGGTAAACGCGTTCACTTGCTCTCACTTAATTAAGGACGAGACAACCTTTCTTTACGCATACGGCAATTTTTTTAAACATAAAATATACAATAATCAACTATACAACAACTGCAATAATACAATACTGCTTTTGCAGTCAGCTTTTGGTCTCATACAGTTAACTCGGAGCAGGACTATTTTCAAAGTGTTCTAATTTCAAACACATTTTCTTTGCATGCTCTGTACTGTTTACTGTCTGTCTGCATCCACAGGTCCTGTGCTCCCAAGCCCAGGACTACAGTGCCAGAGGTGTGCTGTGCGATGCTACAGAAGAAGGGCCCCTGCGTCGTAACCCTGGGAACCACAATCGCAATTTAGTGGAACGACTACCAACTTCAGATGATGTGGAGTTCACGCTGAGTCTGACCAACTATGACACCGGACCAATGGACCGCAGTGCCAACATGAGCTTCAGAAACACTCTGGAAGGTCAGATAAGCCTGACCACATACACAAACCCAGACTGCAATTTACCTCTCTGCACTCCTATTTTTCACTATCACTCATACAGTCTTTGCTTTTACTGCGTTATTTTGATTCTCTGCCTGTCTCTGGGCACCTGAAATGTGTAGGCTGCCCTCGATTTCTTTGGTTATTTGCAGTTCATTTTGAGGCCTTTGAACTGATTTTTGCACATACAGTGAAAATGAAATTTGATTAAAATTAACCTCAAATTGGGGTCTCCAGTGTTAAAATTCACTCAGTAAAGTGCATCACAAACCCCCCCCAAAAAACTAGCCCTTCTTGGGTTTACTACCATATAATACCTGTGTAGGATTAAAGTACCTTCAGGATTACAGCAGTGTTTTGCACAAATTCAGCTGTCATAGAAAGAAAGGGACTAATCGATAAACATTTACAGAAATGTGACAAAATAAAGGACAAGTTTATCAGGTTGTTCGGACATGATGTTCCACCCAAACTGCATCAGTAACTTTGACTGTAAAAGCATCTTGAACCCTACTAGAAGGGATGGAAAGATATTCCCTTAATGAGCGTTTATGGTGATAACATAAAGCTCTGTCTAGCAGATTGGTCCAAAATCCTCAATAGCTGTGCAGTTGTGTTAAGATCTGTTCCCTGCAAGGGCCACACCATATGATTTACATCATTTTCATACGTGCCAAACTAGTCAGTGAGCCCACATAGATCATGGAGAGTGCATTGTCATCCTCTCTTTTAAAATGTTTCATGGAAAGTGATAACTCAGAACAGTTTATCACTGTTTTGCAGTGATCCTTCCTCTTAAGGAGACAAGTGGATAGACAAACAGATCCACTCTATCCCCTTACTAAAGGGCTTAAGGTTTAAAATTTATCTGTAAATTTCCTTTGACTGGAGCTGTATAGCTATATAGCTATAGCTACATTTTCAGACTTCTGCATTGAAGTGACATGACTTATGTAAATAAAAACAGAGTTTAATTTTGTGTAACATCAAAAACCCAACTACATGCTACTATGTTTGTCAAGCTGATGAGACACTTTTCATTTTATAGGATTTGGAGACCCTCGGACGGGGTTGGGAAACAGTTCTCGTTTGGGCATGCATGCTGCTCTACACGTGTACATGAACGGATCCATGTCTTCAGTGCAGGGCTCCGCGAACGATCCCATATTTCTGCTTCATCATGCGTTTGTTGACTGGTGAGAGACAGAAACACCTTAAAAACACAGAAAACCGTACATTTGCACTCAATGCTTGAACTTAACACTGGTACTGTATTTGTTTTTGTCCCTGTTAGCCTTTATGAGCAGTGGCTCAGGAGGCACAGACCATCTCCATCCCAGTATCCGGAGTCAAATGCTCCTATAGGGCACAACAGCGAATACCACATGGCACCAATCCTACCTCTGCACAGGAACAGAGACTTCTTCATTTCCAGCAAAGACCTGGGATATGAATACACCCACCTGCTAGATGCTAGTGAGTTACCCTATGATCGCCTATGCCAGTCCCTTCTTCTTCTTATTCTTCTCGTCTCCACTCATTGAATTTTGCCCTTAGGGGCTTAGGTCATTTACTTATCTTGGTTTATTGAAACCTAAAAATTAAACTCTACTGTTTTGCCTACTTTGACATAACCAGCTATGTCCTCTTTGCAGGTCAAAAGCTAGCAGAATCATTGCACCCTTCCCTCGACGAGTTGCGGGACGTGTGGCCGTGGCTGCTTCTTGCAGGGCTTTGTGGAGGAATTTTGACAATAGCCATAGCTGCTGCGGTCCTAACTACAAAACGATGGTACAAAGGATCATCCTGGTTGCGTGCTAGAAGCTGGAAACATGCATTTGCTCTCCCTGAAAGACAACCACTTATCCGGAGCAATGAAATAGAGGAAACCAACCAACATAACTACCAAACAACTATGTGAAGGCAAAGCCTGTCTAGCTTAGCCTTATCGATCTATGAATTTTAATATAAAAGCATTGTGAATTTTTACTTTGAACTATATGCTAACTAAAAACAACTTCTATGATATCTGATATTTCCAATATATTTAACTGTATTACAAGTGGGAATAAAAACCTGTGCATGCAGTAACATTCAAAAATGGATTATGGGCCATGTTAAGCTTTAAACATGTTCCTCCTACAACTGGTATCTTGTCAAACTCTACCAAGAAGATCTTTTCTGACATGGTCTTTACAACGTTTATGGATTTTTTTCAAGGGGCTGTTCCACAGTGACTCGTCACATTTATTCTCTAGATTTCATACAGTTTAGTTGATTACCTTGAAAATCAGGTCTGGAGTGTGTTGCGTCAGCCATATATACACAAACATTTATTATGGTTTATTAAAAGCATGTCATGTGCATATATACACAACTGCAATTCAGAGTAAAGAGAAAAGTGTTTCGTCAGAGCCTTTTTTTTTTCCTTGTTATGTTTATGTGGGAGTTGACTGAACCACATTTTGATTAATGTTTGAATTGATTCATGTTTGTAATGTGAAAAATGTTTTTTGGAAGAGAGAGAGAAAAAGTTTTATCTGCTTAAAAGTGAAGAACCGAGACTTCAACAGCAACGGGATTAGGTTCAGATTTCTAACCTATGACGAATGCAATAGATTAAAAAAAACACAGTGACATTTGTAAAAGTCCTTGCAATTCCAAAAGTCGATGCAGTTCAAAAGCTTCTTTTGAAAGGTCGCACCTACTTTTATCTAAAAAAAAAAAAAAAAGCATTCAGCTTCCCATACTCGTTCACTCATGAAAGAGTGTGAGATTAAAACAAAACCCTGTTCTGCATATGTTATACACCCATACGCCAATTTATTAGGTACACCTATTCAGTTTCTTGGCAACGCTAATATCTAATCAGCCAATCACATGGCAGCATATCAATGCATTTGCGGATGTAGAAATTGGTCAAGATGTCCCTTTTGAAGTTCACAGCGTGCATCAGAAATGGGTGGAAGGAAACATGAGTTTAAATCATCTGTGTGAAACAGAAATATGCTTTTGTTCTGTAGCTATGAGACTGAATGTACACTTGCTGACCACTTAAATAAGGTACATCTCTTTATTTATTTATTTTATGCATTTAGGCATTTAGACATAGCAAAGGTGACCTGCTGAAGTTCAAACCGAGCATCTGAATGGTGAAGAAAGGTGAAATAAGGATTAAATGACTTTGAATGTGTCACGGTTGATGGTGCCAGACATGCTGATGTGAGTGTTTCTGAAACTGCTGATCTACTGGGATTTTCCCTGCACAACCATCTCTAGGCTTTCCGATGCTTTCAGAGAATGGTTGGGAAAAAGAAAATGAGTTCCAGTGAGCTTTGCTAAAAAATGCCTTGTTGACATCAGAGGTCAAAGGAAAAGACTAGTTCAAGCTATTAGGAAGGTAACAGCAATTTAAATAACTATATTACAAAACAGGGTATGCAGAAGGGCACTGCTGAATGCACACGTTAAACCTTAAAGCAGATGGGCTACAGCAGAATAGAATAGAATAGAATAGCCTTTATTGTCATTGTACAGAGTACAACGAAATTGGAGTGCCACTCCCTTGATGCAAGTTTCAATAATAAATATAAATGTAAAATATAAAAAGTACAATAAAACAATCGCAAGTACTCAAACAATAATAAGTACGATATATACAGGATAGGAGCATTAATATAATGACAGTATGAATAGCAGCATAATACGGTATAGCTAAGCAGGTTCAATTGTTTTTGTGCTTATTTACTACGGTGATAGCTCTGGGAAAGAAGCTATCCCTGAATCTGTTTGTCCTGGTTTTATGTGACCTGTACCGTCGGCCTGACGGTAATAGTTCAAACAGTTGGTTGCTGGGGTGAGAGTGGTCCTTGATGATATTGCCAGCTCTGCTGAGGTACCGAGAGTTTGCAGTGACCTCCAGGCTGGGCAGAGAGCAGCCAGTGATCTTCTGGGCTGTGTTGATGACCCTCTGCAGTACTTTCCTGTCCGCAGCTGAGCACCCTGCATACCATGTTGTTATGCCGTACGTTAGGATGCTCTCTATGGTGGCTCTGTAAAATGTCACCAGCAGCCTCTCCTCCAGGTTGTTCCTCCTGAGCACTCTCAGAAAGTGGAGACGCTGCTGGGCCTTTTTAACCACCGCCGTAGTATTTGCAGTCCAGGAGAGGTCATCAGAGATCTGCACGCCCAGAAACCTCATGGAGTGTACCCTCTCCACACAGTTCCCGTGAATGTAAAGTGGGGCCGGGTCTGCTCTGCCCTTCCTGAAGTCCAAGATAAGTTCTTTAGTTTTCGTGGTGTTCAGTTGGAGGTTGTTAACTGAACACCACTCAGTCAGTCTGTTGACCTCATCTCTGTAGTCCGACTCATCCCCCCTTGAGATGAGTCCAACCACTGTGGTGTCATCCGCGAACTTTATGATGGTGTTTGAGAGATGGGTAGGGGAGCAGTCGGATGTGTAGAGCGTAAACAGGAGGGGACTCAAAACACATCCTTGTGGAGACCCGGTGCTGAGTGCCCTGTCTGAGCAGCAGACAGGGTCACTGCTGTGAGCCAAGAATGGCTAGTTTTATGTTGGCAAACTTTGAGTCTATTAGTACCAAGTGATAATTGTTCAAATACCACAGCCTACCTGAGCGTATCCACCCTCTGATGGACACTTCCAGCAGGATAACACATCTCATCACAAACCTCAAATTATCTCACACCGGTTTCTTGAAAATAGCAACGCGGCCTCAATTTAATAGAGTACCACTGGGATGTGGTGGAATGGAAAATTCACATTATGCTTGTACTGATGCAATCATGTCAATATGAACCAAAATATCAGGAGGGTTTCCAGGTCCTTGGTGAATTTATGCCATGAAGAATAAAGGCTGTTCTGAAGACAAGGTTTATTTAGCAAGGTGTATATGTTAGAATTCAAACCATAGACAACCACTCCAGTTTTAAAATTTAATCTCAGAAGTTTATTTATTTTTTGGTCAGACAAACTGGTTCCCTTTCCTAGAACTTTACTTTTCCATTGCTTCTCCTTTTGCCAAATAACACTTCATACAATCTAAGCCTAGACACATGCTTTCTAGCATAGCATTTTATGATACAATATTTTGCTTAAAATACTTTGTATTTAATTGGCATTACAGTACATCCTCATTAAAACCAGACTACTTTGTTTTGACAAGAAATAAGATAAATACAGTATCTGAAAGCAAAACTTGTACAAAATTTACATTGAGTGTAGTGAAGTAAAAAACATAATTTGGAGCAAATTTACAATTTTTACTGAGAAAAGTATGGATAGTTAGAGTGCATCTCCAAAGTATATCTCAAGATAATTCAGCTGTGATAGTTCTCGTCTCACAATTGATTCAGAATACATTTCATAAAACAAAAGTTTGGATAACATATTGATGTAAGCGGACAAATCAAGACAATCCGGGGCAGCTTTTTGGTCTGATGTATTAAATTTATGAAAAACAAAAATGATTTTATTCCTGAAAATATGAGATCTGGTCACAGCCACGGTCCATTAGTGTGACATGGGTCTGCATGGGTGTGAAAGTGAGCAGAATTAAAACGGACAACTTATTTTAAGGCATGATGTAATTTTCCAGGGACTTCAGTGCAATTTAGCTGGGACTTGACTGGAAGCCTGCTGAAACTCAGTTTTTAAATCACTGTGGAAAAAAAAATTATAATAACAAAAGATTCTGTTACTACAAGTTGACCCCCCCCCCGGAAAAAAAAACCCCCACAAGGGAGGGAGGGAGAAAAATCAAGTTCTTTAATTTGAAAAACAAAAACACTGATGTTGTCAAAGAAAGGCTAAAGTTAAAGAGGTAACGAATTAACTGTGAGGCATGTGACCTTGGGTTCAGTTAAACATACACACCGTGTCTTTATTTTCAATCTTATCAGTCATCTTCATCTTCATCCTCGTCCTCACTGTCAGATTTTTGCTTCTCGCTCTCCTTGGGTGGAGCAGGAGGAGGAGGAAGGTCCAGACGGGCCCAGGACATCGCCTCGGACTTCTTCATGGCTACCTCGATCTTGGCCGCCATCATGTTCACCAAACTTTTACTCACGTCTATCACCTGCAAGACAAAATACTCCGTTAACAAACAGGGTGCGAAAGAAAAAAAAAAAAAATTAAATTTGCTGTTTTTCCCTGTTGGTTTCAATTACATTACAATTAAAGAAAATAAATGAGTTCAAACTGAATGAAATGTAGTGCAGACTAATAACATAATAATAAATAAGACTTACTCCCCAAAGGCTGATTTTCTGCTCAAATTCCTTCTCTCCATCAAATATAATGTGTATGTCGAGCTGAAGGAGAAAAGCAAAAATCAGCATTAGATAATAAGAAGGAAAAAAATCCAAACCCAAGATGTTTTGATATGAAGAGGAACGATCGGATAGACTCACCGTAGTGCTGTTGGCATCCACATAGCTTAGCTCTGGGACTGCATTCTTGGCATAGATAGAAATGATGACCTGCGTCCCAGTCTGGTGCCAGTCAAACCGACACGGGACCACCTTCTTACCCTGTAAAGAATTTTCATACAAGACAAATGTTCAAATTCAGCTCTTCAGCCTCCGCCAGCAGACACCACTAGATGGAGTCACAGGTGAGTTTCCTTTATGCAGGCCTGCACACATAAATGATTACTTGCTGCCAAGCTGGCACACCTACCGCATCTTTTTTCCTCCATAGATGTGTTCCCTTTGTACAGCCCTCTTGAGAGAGGAAGGTATTAAAGTCTGAGGTTTTCCTTTTACAGCAGCTCCAGTATTTCATCCTGGAGATGCAGGAAAGATATAACACCTGCTGGATTTTTAGCAGTCAATAACTTGTCACTCAAGAGAAAAGGTAAACAAGACTAACAGGAGAATCATAATGGTGCCTTCATGTTTCTTTTACAGAGAGCAGATCTAATATTCCGCATTAATGTAAGAAACACATTTGGAAAGGAATCGGGTGAATTTAACACTCTCTACATAATAATTTGAAAACGCGATCAGTAATACTAACCCTTCGTGAAAGATGGGAAATCCAGCATGGTATAGGCACACATCCGAATCACTTGCAGGTCCTTCAAAACTCTGAGGATAAAAAGAACAGTTGAGCCCTCAACAAACACAAACACTTTTTTTGCTTTTTTGTCAGGCGAAAAAATGCAAATGAGGCAATTAGCTCTTTTTTAACCATTAAATGTCTTGAGTTCAAGTTTAAGAATTCCAACTTTGTTACTTCAACTCTTGTTGAGTCTGAAGGCGCCCAACAACAACTTCCTCAACTGTCCTGCTTATAAAAATCTGAAGCTCAGCGGGGGAAATAATTATTTGATGCCCCGCTGAATTTGGAAGTTTGCTCACTGAAAAGAAATAAACAGCCTCCAATTTTTATAGTAGTTTCAGATTTAATGGAGCGAGACAGAATATCAACCATAAATCCATGGAAACAAACAAACAAAAAAATCCCACATTACATAAAAGTTAGAAGTGATTAGAGTGTAATTCTAATTAGAATTAAGTATTTTATTCTGATACTGTCAAATGTTGGACGAGAACCTCCTTCAATCAGCCAGAACACTGAAGATGAATATTCCAGAATTACAAAGACCCAAAATATACTGCTAACACAACAAAGGAGTGGCTAGCTGGTCTTTATACCCCAGTCCTATAGAAAATCTATGGAGAGAGCTGAAGCTTGGAGTTGCTTATTAGGAGCATAGAAAACAAAAGGACTGAGTTTCTGTAATAAGGCGTGAGAAAAAAAAAAAAAAAAAATCACTTCTGAGATATGTGCAAACCTGGTGACCAAATACAGGAAACATCTTACTGCTGTGCTTGCCAACAAGGGTTTTTCCACAAAGTACTAATTCATGTGTTTTGGGGAGATTAAATACTTTTTTCACCCAATGACATTCAAAAACAATTTAGAACTTTTATGCATTTTTTTTCTGGAAATGACAGTCTCTTAATTACTTTGCAACTCAGCAAACGATCATTTCCACTGTAATAGTCTATGTACCAATGTTTTAGAAAAATAGTTCCTGCTAAAAGTCCAAAAAAGTACCAATCCAGGCTTCTACAAAGACCCAATCTTATGGATAAACTAAAAGCAAGAAACCCTTGAGAAAATGTGTTGTGGCTTTCAAGCAAACAAGTTAAAGTACAATTATGTAAATCACTACAATCCCACTCTAAGCTTCTACTACGCACGTCAATGACAATTTTACTCACAATTTCTGTTCTAATGTTAGAGTTTCTGCTCTGACAGACTCGATTAGCTTGAGCCCCCAAAAACTTAGCTTTATATCTATCTCAGAGAAAATGCAGAGACAGAGGAAAAAGATCCACTTCCCCTTTTTCAGAGAGCAGTTTTGCAATACTATTTATCACGAACAACTCGGAATTACACATATACTTACAAAGAAACAATACAACCTATGAAACAAATGTGACTTCATACATTAAAGCTGCTGTTAGTACTTACTTTAGTACAGCCTCCGTTTTTACAGGACGTTCCAATTTTGATCTCGTCACTTTCTTCCTCTATAAAGAGAAAATAATTGAGCCCATGAAGAAAATTATAAAACAGTACATTGACTCTTATGAAGCTTTAACTCAAATTCTATTATGTGAATGACACAGACGATGGCAGCTTCCCAGCAGAAGTCCTACTGACACCATCACCTTTCTGTCTAAAATGTAAGAGGTAATGAGAGAAACAGAAAAAAAAACAAAAAACAAATTCAGCTCTTACCTTTTGTCTCTTCAGCATTTTCAGTTAGTTTAAGTTTCTCCAGCGCCTGCTTCAGAGATGCAGAGACTTTATGCTGCAATCTCACCGCTGGCTCATCAGGACTATAACAACAAATATATATTAAAATACTATAAGGAAAACAAAACAAAAATGTGCTTCTGTGTGCAGTAATCATTTGGAAGGGTGATTTTTGGTGCAAACCCAATCTAGGATCTATACTCTGCTTGAGAAGGGCTTTAATATTTCAGTGTTAAGTGCTTGAGCCTGTCCACTTTTAACAGTGGGGGAAACCACCCAGGTTATAAAACAAAACCCCAAACCTTGGTAAGAACACTTCAGAGTATCCCGTTGATGCTTAGCTTAGCATTGAAGATTTAAGTCCTAAAAATACCCCGTAAACAGAGCTTATTTTTCATGACAATTTAGTTGCCTTGACTTTAGATTTAACCAAACAGTAATCCGTTCAGCCTTAGGTCCAAGTGCAACACAGAACACACACACACACACACACAAAAATGACAACACAGAAACATGATGCCTCCAGAAATGGCTATCGCTCACATGAAAGCATTAAAAAACATAAAAATATGGCTGATGCCAACCTTGGTCTGCATATCGCCTCCTGAGGTTTCGGTGCAGAGATGATGTACTCATTAAACTTTGGCTTTTGGTCCTCTAACTCCTTCTTTTCTCCTGAAGATGTCACATCTGGTTTCACCGGCTCAGGGGGCTTCTCTTTGTTGTGGGGACCTTTTGTACAGCCCTGTGAGGAGAAAGTCACCGTGTTGGACTCGCACAAAATAAAAGCTCAGGCTGTTTTGGCCATGGCAAAGGTGCCAGTCAATAACTATGAAACAACAGACAACAGAGGCATCACCATGGAGAATAGAGCAGAGAAAACGACTAAGGTTAAACAGAGAACTTACAACAATGCTGAGGAAGTCTGAGAAGTCAGTAGTTCTTCTCTTGCAGCAAGACCATCCCTGAAGGAAATAACAGAAACATTAGCTTTGATCAAATAACAGGAAGAGGACACAAGCTAGCTGTGCATTTTCGGGTGCTTTACCTTCAAGGCATCGTGGAATACTGGGACTCCTGGATGATAGGTGCAGCCATCTGTGAAAACAAAATGCATCTTTGATTAACTTTGGGGAGAAATCGTGTAGTTGTGGGAACAATGACTGTTTACAAGTCTGCTCTAAATAGCCGCTGTGGAAAAGTGTACGTTTGTTTTGAAAAATGCTGACTGTAGTTGTAGAAAAGTAGCCTGAACGCTTTAGGGAGCTTTATGTAATGATGGGTAGTTTGCAGTCAAGTTTGGCCACTCAGAGTATTTATTAAAAGGTACTCAGAATGATTTAAAGACATAATGCAAAAAATTTGAACTGACATTCTAATATGTGCATATGTAAACTGTAGGATTAAAACAACAACAACAACAACAACAACAACATATATACCAATAACTACAAGAAGTGTTTACCTGAAAGACAGAATGGCATGAACATCCTTAGTGTTCAAAAAACAAATTTTTATTACTTGAGAAATCTACAAAGCACAAAGTACAATATATACATACACATTTAACCAATATATTAAAATGAGTATGAATATTTGAAAATAACAGATTTGTGATGCACTTTAGTCACACTACCATCATCATTATTTGAGGTTTTACTGTAACTCGTATTCTATTTTCATCATCTACTCTTTAAAAATAAATCGCTGCAGAACGAATAAAGGAAATTGGCCGGTGGGTACCATAAATCAAGCATTTTCCCTGTAGTACAGCCGGAGCTGTGCCCAATCTGTGCTTCCTGACTTTGACACACCTCTTGCATACCTCTGAAGGTAAAGATAATATACTCTACCGTTATGAGAAAAGAAGCATCCCATTAAAATGGAAATCAGACTGGACTCCTACACAGGGGGTGTACACAATGTTAGATTACTTGAGGATAGAGGTGGACCATTCTAAAGAAAGGAAATAAGTCACGTTGAGGTTTCTGTCGTGGGAGCTGAAGACAAAATTGCGATCTTGAATTTTATTTATTTATTTTTCAATGTGGCTTCATATAAACACGAACAACACATCTGTTACAAGGAGAATGGTGTGGCTTATAATGACAGCGATCGTCTTCCTACTCCACAGTATTTGTGGGGTTTGTAAGGTGACTGAAAATGCACATTTTTTTAAAGAAGACAAAAAAGGGTAGAATTTAATTAGTTATCCTTTACATGCATGAAATATTAATAATCACAAATTCACCATATGTCAAATAAAAACTGGACTTTAACTGTATAACAGGCTGGAAACGCCAAATGATCTTTGGGCCTCCTTTAAATTTTTAAGGTCTATGTCGTAGATCTATATTTTGCTAAAATTTAAAAAAGGTGTTTACATGTACCTCTTCTGGGTACATGCAAACACATCATGTTTGCCTGTGTAAAATGTCCTGATTTCTAACTGGTTGCTCCACCTGCTCTCGCTTTCACATATCGATGTTTAGCTGCTGGCAGTGAACACTCTGGGCTCAAAACACAGTTTGGCTTCCCTCAAGGGTAAGCCTGGCAGTCAGAAAAAAAAAAAGATAATGATAAATACATTGCACTTCTTTTCATTCACTGTGTGTATCGCGGAGGAAGTAGTTTCCCCCTACTAATTTTACATCTTTGACTGTCAAGGGAAGACATGCGGGATATACAACTGCTTATTGAAACATGCTCCAAGTACAGAAAACACTATCAAATATAGAAACCATGTAGGCTAACCAGCAGATGGAGTATCATCCGAGTTATGAGAATGATTATTAGTTCAACTTCCAACATCAGGGTCAGACAGCCAACCTCAGTAACCCCAAAAGTCACAAGGGAGCTCATCGCTTTTAGTTGGTGCATGTCAGAGTGCTATCTGTGTTTGTAACTGATTTAATCACAAATACGTTTCATAATACAGAAGCACTTGTTACCTAAATGTGCATGTATTTACTTGTATTTTAAGGTTAGCCCCCCCCCTCCCTCCCCGTTGTTGTGCTGGTATTTTTTAAGGCTTTTCTTGTATATATTTTCTTGCACACTGTGGTGACTCTTTTAATAAATAGTTAACTGCCTACTGGTCCCACTCGTCTCTTCAGTTTTCTCTTTAAATTGTTTGCATTGATTATGGAAAGCAGTTAAAAGCGAGCTAGCATCTACTTTCTTCTAAAGCCAAGTGGAAAAGTTCAATGACTCACAATAATTAATAATTCAGTCACATAATTACCAGCCGGATGAACTATGATCACTATAAGGGATGCCGATTGTAAGCAAGTGATTAAAACTTCCAACGTTGAAATGAAAATGTGACTGCCGCATTCACACTACTTGTATGGCTACACATGTAACGTTGTATACGTGAATAACGATCTTTAGATACTTTATGTGGAAGGAACCGGCTTTCTGAAACTTTAAACCGCTTACAGCGTCCGCACAACCGTCCCGCAAAGTCTAACGTTGCCTTTTAATCGCAGGAGCTTAACATGCTAACTACAGCATGATAAAACTAACTCACAGAGGGCCCGTGTGTTATTTATCTGATATAAAACGAAGGAAACGAATGAATTAAGTTGAACAGCTAACTGACATAAGGTTAGCAACACGGGCCCATCGGGCCTGCTCACGGTAGAAATTTCCAGATGATGAGAGGTTAGCTTGCTAACACTCAGGGAACATACAATGGACATCGATAGTAAAGTAAGACCACTCACCGGCTGGGTTATTTTCTGGATCAAATCGTTGTCCACATCCCTTATTATAACACAAAACAGACATAGTGACTGATGGGAGAAGAACAACGAATGATCAGATTTCTAACTAACCACTACAGAGCTCGTGTGTCAGAGAGCTCGCCGCCGTTTGCTTTAAGGTGTTGAACATTACACTTCCGGATGTTGTCGGCTGCACTCGGCAAAGATCGGCGCTTGCCCGCCACCACCTCCAGCCTGTGAGCGCACTCCGGTCCCACACAGGCGACAGCTGATGCTGGCCGCTTCCAAACTTGCAATAAGCGACATCTTCTCTGGTTCACATCTCTCTCGGACTTTAACCTTATAGAAAACGAATGTAGAACTTATCTAATCTTAGTTTGGTTGTAACTATTGCAAATGCAAGCCGGGATAGCCCTCTGCACTCAGGCTTACAGTTATCAGGTGCATGGAACGGGGGCAATAGCTATATAGTTTTACGAGGATAGCTGCAGTGTACTAGATAACTGCCTATCGGGATATATCTAAAGGCTTTTTTTCGCGCATCCATAAGCGGCCATTTTGCCTTTCTTTCTTTTCTTTTTTGTAATTATTGAGTGAGAATGGGACAGGATTTAATTTCACTGATTGCATCGGTTTCATCTAAAGGTAGGTCACTTTGCAATGTGTAAGTGAAGTCTGTACAAATGTATGCAGTACCGGTACTTAAGCGACACACTGTAGCAACAAAGTGTAAGTTAATAAACTCGTGGATTTTGCAGAGACGCGTTTCACTGGATTACTGCAGGACACGATTGTGCAGATCTCCCGGCATAGCCTCTCAGCAGGGATGTTGATGTTAAATCGCTGGATTGTGATTGAAGATTTATTTATTTATTTATTGCTGGTACAGTCCTATCTATAGATCCGATATATTTCAGTGTTTCTCGAAGTTGAGTCATGATCATGTAGAGACCTATGGTTTAGGTGAATGGCACGGTATCTAAAGCAATAGTTAAAAAACAGCAATAAAAATTTGTAGGCAACAGAAGAAGAAAAGATTTTTAAACTTCTTTGTTTTTATTATTTTGCCCTTTTTGTTGTCTGACACTTGTTAAATTGGTTTTTTAGTTGGTTGTCTGTGCTTTCACAATGATGTGTTTGTTGTAATTATGTTCTACTTTCTGAAAATATCACAGCCCTGCTTGTCTCTGTTAAAGGAGTCTTTATTATTATGACCCCTGTTATTTTATTTAGATGACATGATGTGTTTCTGTGAGACTGTGCAAATGAGCTGTGGTTTGAAGTTGATTCGTTGCTTCACAGCCTTTCTCATTGTTTCAATGCAAAGTGTGAGCATCATCATATCAATGTAGTGATAATAACTCCCTCTAAAATGTTTTTGTGCCTGATCATCCAAAGTTTTTTTGTTTTGTTTTTTTATCAGCAGAACATACATTCCTACTGAATGACCAACTAAAATCAAGTCCTTTATTTTAATTGTGATTCTTTCCAAATACAGGGTGACTGGATGATGGGATAGTGATGAAGCCCAATCGGTGGGGAAATATGCACCCCCTGCCCAGCTTCTCTCTTCCTTTCCTTTTTATTTTCTTTTTCTTCTTCCTCTTCATATGTTTCCACTCAACCCATGCCCAGCTTCTGACAGATTCTAGAGCAGGGCAACGCTTGCTGCTCTTCACTCAGCCTGCATATAATGTGTCCATTTTTGAGAACTCTGCTGCAAGAACCTATACCAAAAGTGAAGCCAAAATGGGCATCATTCTCGGGCCACCTTGGTCTTTTGAGATAAAATACTCCATTGTGTTGGGAGACATTGAAGGCATCTTTCAGGCTGAAGATTTTGTAATGGGAGATTTTTGTTTTCTCCGCATATGCACTAATGGAGGTAGTGGTGCTATACTGAATCGGGAAGTACAGGATAATTACACTCTGACAGTTAAGGCCTCGGCCCCAGGAGGCCTAGAGGCTTTAACCACTGTTTATATCAAGGTCTTGGATACAAATGACCTTCGACCTCTATTTTCCCCAACTTCCTACGCATTTGTTGTTTCTGAGAGTGCCCCTCTGGGTGCCAGCATAGGACGTGTGACTGCCACAGATGCTGACGTAGGCTCGAATGGAGAGTTTTACTACTTTTTCAAGAATAAAATAGATCTTTTTGCTGTTCATCCGACGAGCGGGGTCATCACCCTGACTGGTCGACCAAGGATGGACAAACAGGACCGATTTGAGCTGGAGGTACAGGTGGTTGACAGAGGGATGAAACTCTATGGGAACAGTGGTATCAGCAGCACAGCAAGGCTTGTACTAACTGTGCAGCGAGTAAATGAATTTGCTCCCGTTCTTAGTGCAGTCGCTGTTGTTCCATCGTGGGAAGAAAAGAATCCCGTGTATGCAGTAATTAATGTGGAGGACAAAGATGAAGGAATATCCGGAGATATAGAGTGGGTGTCCATCATTGAGGGGGATCCCTTCGAGCAGTTTGTGGTTGATCGTTCGCCTGTTGGGAACGAGTACAGAGTTAAAACGTCGGAAGCTGTCAGCTGGGATACATTCCCCTATGGCTGCAACTTAACATTTCAGGCCAAGGACAGAGGTATGCCTCCCAAGTTTTCTAATACCCAAATTGTTCAGTTGTTGGTTACAAAACCGGACCCAGTGATGGCGAGTTTCGAAAAAGATGTTTATATAGTCACGCTGAGTGAAATCGCTCCCCCAGGCTCTGTTATAGCGATGGTGAAAATATCCCCGGCTCCTCTGAGAGTCAATTACAGCTTCAGCAACCCTTCAGATCCAGTGTACTTTGATATAAACCCTTTGACTGGAGTTATTATGACCACCAGGCAGCTTACAAGGATATCACAGGATTTCATGGTGATGGAGGTAGTTGATATGATAAGTGAGCAGCGAACAAGTGTCCAAATTCAAATCGAGGATGCTAATGACAACTCTCCAGTGTTCAACAAGCCATTCTACAATATTGTCGTCAACGAGAGCGTACCTGTAGGTACTGTTGTCCTTGTGGTCTCTGCTGTGGATGATGATAAAGGGGAGAATGGGTATGTAAGTCACACTATTAGTGGTGAACAGTCTCTTCCATTTAGCATAGACCAGAAAACAGGGGAGGTGAGAATTACTAGAGATCTGGACTTTGAATCATCAGATGATATCTACACTTTCGCAGTGCGTGCCTCTGACTGGGGTTCACCCTACAGAAGGGAGAGTGAGGTTAATATCACCATACGTGTAATAAATATCAACGACAATCAGCCTCTTTTTGAGAAGGTTTCTTGCAGAGGGATGATAAGCCGTGATTTCCCTGTCAACCAGACTGTTGTCACCTTGTCAGCAATTGACATGGATGAGCTAGGACTAGTTGAGTACAAGATACTCTCTGGGAATGAGTTAGATTATTTTAACTTAAATCCAGACTCTGGGGCTTTGTCACTGAAAAGATCGTTAGCAGTGGATAGTTTAAAAAGTGGTGTATTCAACTTCAAAGTTGTTGCAACAGATGGAGAGATGTTCTCTGATCCCACATTTGTGAATATATCAGTGGTGAGGGGTAGGATTCCCCCCAGAGGGTTCAACTGCAAGGACACAAGGGTAGCCCAGCTTTTGGCAGAAAAAATGCTCTCAAAGGCATCTGCTATGGCTAGACCGAGACCAGATGAGAGCTACACAGATATTTTCTCTACGAACAAACAGCCTCCACAGTTTGAAGCCTTGCCTACAAGCATTCTCGTGAGAGAAGACCTCATTCCCGGTGCCAGTGTATTTCAGGTGCGAGCGCGAGATGGTGACGCAGGCTTTAATGGCCGCGTTCTCTTTTCCATTTCTGATGGTAACAAAGAAAACTGCTTCAATATAAACATGGAGAGTGGGCTGATAACTATACTGCGGCCACTCGACCGTGAACGAGTGGATCGTTACTTCCTTAATATCACCATCTATGATCAGGGCATTCCTCAGATGTCCAGTTGGAGATTACTGACAGTGATCATTGAGGATACAAACGACAATGACCCTCAGTTTTATCAGGACAGCTACTCTGCCCTTGTTTCAGAAAACTCAGCCATTGGCATGGAGGTTATAACCATCACTGCATTTGACAGAGACATGGGTCAGAATGGACAGCTCTCCTATATAATGCTCACCAGTGTTCCTCAGTTTGGGATTGACAGTGAAACTGGAAGTGTATTTGTTGCTAGCCAGCTGGATAGAGAAACATTTCCAATATTCATATTGAAGATTGAAGTCAGAGACATGGCTGAAAGAGGCACTCGAAGGTCCTCAGTGACTACTCTAAGTGTAATCTTGGAGGATGTCAATGATTGCGCTCCAGCTTTCATCCCTACCAGCTATAGTGCTCGAGTACTAGAGGATCTCCCGCCCGGGACTGTGATTACCTGGGTGCAGGCTCAGGACCCAGACATTGGACCTGGAGGACAAGTTCGATATTCCTTAATCAATGACTTTAATGGCACTTTTGAGGTAGGTGATGACACAGTGTGAACAGAATCTTGCACACGTTAAGATTTTTTTTTTTACATTTATTGAAGTATAGATTGTTTATGATGTAATTATTTTTTATAGATCGGTCCTATAAGTGGAGTATTGAGAATTAGAAAGGAGTTGGACTTTGAGAAACAACAGTTTTTCAACCTGACGTTGCTTGCTGAAGACAGAGGAATCCCCAGCCTTAGGAGCCAGACGTTTGTGGAGGTAGAGGTGCGTAGCACACATGCTCAAATATTCTACATCTCAGGGATCACCATAGCAGATCATCTGCCTCTATCTCACCCTATCCCTAGCACCTGTCACATCAATCCGCTACATGTCCTCCTTTACTTCCTCCATAAATCTTATGTGTGATCCTAACTGGCAACTCCATATCTAACATCCTTTGTAAAATAATTTCATCATCCCTCCTCTCCACACATCTAAACAGTCTCAGTCTTGCCTCTCTGACTTTGCCTCCAAACCGCTTAACCGGACCCGTTCCTTTGACATACTTTTTTCTAATCTTGTCCATTCTGGATACTCCCAGTGATCTTCAGCTCTGCCACCTCCAGCCCTGCCTCCCAAATGCAA